AAGTCTGTCAGCACTATCTTTCCAGAAACTCAGATGATTGTTAGAATTTTTTAAGCCATAAAGCATTTCTTAATCATGTAAATTGTTTTTATACGCAATTCTCTTGCACACTCAATAGACTATGTTATAGTGTAAACTTAACTTTTATGTGCACTGAGAAACCGAAAAACTCATGGAACTTGCTTTACTGTGATAGTTTGCTTTATTTCAGGGATCTCAAACCAAAGTCACAAAGTCTGAAGTATACCTGTAAAGATGAGTTAGATTGGGATAGGCCCCTTAATGGGGACAGATAACAGAAATATAAAATAACTGTAAGACCAAGTTGAAAGGCCTAGATGGTACAAAGTAAGTGCTGCTGGATCTCCCAGTCAGGCAAGGTGACTTTGGCTTGAATGATCAAGGAAGGCTTAATGATCATATTGGCATCTGACCTCACAATCTTGAAAGATGAGTTGATTTAGATAGAAGAGCAAATGACAAAAGGCTCAGAGGTAGTAACGTACAAGATATTCACAGGGAGCTGTTCATAATTAACTTTGTACATATGCTTTTCATCTATAATATTACAGTTGTTTTGTTTCTTGTGTCAATATGATTTTTACTTCCTTAGGCGGTAAAGCTGGGGAAGCCTAGTCATGTTGTCTTCCCATTCCAGAATTTCATGCTAGCTGGATCCCCATGGAACATCTTCTACCAATTTATCCTGTGTAATTAACTTGCCTGAGACGTTCTCTATTTTCATCACAGTTTGCTTCACAGTCAAATAAGCCTCACCATCTGGAACTTCTTTCTTTCTTTTTTTTTTTAACACACATTTTCTTCCACAAAGGGCCTTTTTCCATTTCTAAGTGTCACTTAAGGTCCTACAACATTCTGCTTCATTGTCTTTGCTTTAAGGTTTATATTGTAAAAAGCCAACCACAGAGATTTGAAAACAAGCTCTATCCCTCTTTTCTACATTACTACCCCAAATCTGACAAATTTTGGCACCTTCAGCTTTCTACAAGGGCAGTTTTCCTTGAAGTTAGGGTATATCTCTAAGAGACTAGCTGGCACTGAGTCCCCAGAGGGTAGAGCAGCTCGGAGACTATTGCAATAGGCCAGATTCATAGTGAGATTAATAAGGAAAGAGAATAAATAGTGATCACATAACCTTACTGATCATATAACCTACTTAGTTTTACTCCTTAGATAGAATTGTACGTTTAACCTTCAGTTACTGTGCTAAACCTGTGAAAGTGCATTTGTTGTTCATTTTCATTTTGGATTGGTAACATCGATTCTTTCTCAAACTGTAAATGAACTATGGAAACTGCATTCCAGACACTCAGCTGAAGGCTGGCACACAGCCCCAAAGCACCTAAACTTACTATTGGGGACTTTCATTTAAGAATGTTTGCATTTCTCTTGGTCCAGAGCCTCTCTGGGCCTTGACAAAGCCTGACTATTCCTGTTCTTCTCACATTTTTCCAGAAAATGAGCATTAATATAACTGACATCTTTTAAATGTATAGACAGTTGTTATGTTCAAGATCTTATATGTTGACATGGCCAAATTTACCAATCAGGATTCTTGGTTCCAAGTAACAGAAAAGCTAATTCTACTATCTTAGGCCAAAGTGGAACTTAGTGGGTCACAAGTGTACCTGAGAAGCCCAGGAATGTTGGTGTTCAGCATGGTTGCATCCAGGAACTCAGATGTTGCCACTGGGATCTGGGCTTTGCCATCTCTCAGTTCAGCTTTCCTCTGGGTTTACTCTCCTCTTAGGTTATCCCTGATTTCTTTCATTCCAAGATGAGCTCTACCAGCTAGACTTATTTCCATAGAAGTCCAAGTCCAGCACAATAGAGCCTCTCATTCCAGTAGCTTGAACAATCGTCTGAGCCTAATTTCTTGTGGCTTAAGCCCATCTTTAACTAGTCTCTGGCAAGGAGTGTGTGATGTTCTACTGGGCTAGGCCTCAGTTGCCTATTCATCCCTTGACTGGGTAGGAAGAAGAGGCTTGACATGCAAAGCACATGGACTATGAGAATGGCGAAAAGGTGTCTTCAGAGGAGAGAGCCCCAGACCACTGGTGTCCACTACACTAGGTTTTGCTTATACCCACTTCATAAAGGACTTGGTGACTATACTACAGGATACAGATTTTTCCTGCCTCTTTCCAACTCCCTAGGACTTCCTTATATGTTCTCTGCCAATGTCCCTTTTTCAAGTCCAACTGGTTGTTGCATTATTTATTTTATTCCCAGTTTATTGAATAATATCTTTTTACAAAGTTTTAAAATGAAAATAATGTCATCTTTTTACTTAGCCCTGGACTCAGTTGATTCATTTAACAAACAATTTTGAGGGGAAAAGGCTCTCATTATCAGGACCCATTATAGATCATTAAAGAGCATATGGCACATAACAGTGTGCTAGGATAGCTTCTAGTAGTTTAATGACAGTATTGTAAGGAGTCTTTCTCATCATCTTAGAATTTGATGAACCAGAAGTAAAGAAATTGAAAAGGACTGGCCCCTTCCCTTCTATGAGAGCCATAAACATGCAACAACGATGTGCCTTCTGGCTCAGTGGCTCTGAGAGTTCCTGAGGTGCAGGCAGCTGGTTGGTGGCATCTCCTGGTGGCCTGTCAGAACAGTGGTACAACCAAAAGCCAGCTTATGAGCTATGCAAAAGTCTCCGACTTGTGGTGACATTGTCCAAAACCTTTGAGTGTGAATAGAAAATAATTTTCCTGCCAAGATCACATTGACCTCCTGGAAGATTCCACCTTATTTGGATCCTCCAGTGCCTGGTTTTCACTCCTGAGAACAAATTTTGCTCTCAAAGGTTGAAATCAAATCTCTATAGATAGAATGGTGATAGTGATAAATTTACATTAAGCACCAGTGTGCCAGGCATTTTACATGTACTTACTTTTATTTCATCATCATACCCATTAGGTACTATTATAACCCCTACTTTACACATAAGAAAATAGGCACCAAGAGGATACCTAATGTATCTGAGGGTAGAGCCTGGGATTTGAAACTGGGCAGTTTGGGTGGTCCAAGTTCAGTATTCCCCCATGCCTAGCCAGTATGTTCAGCTGCTTCCATAGGCCACAATTTGACCTGAGGCCTGTCTAGCCCCTGGCCAACAAGTCCCCTGTGGTCTTGAGGACTAGTCTCTCATTCCTTGTCATGGCTTGTGGCCCTAGATGAGAGCCACTCTTGAGATACTGAGATCTGACAGGTATGCAGAAAGGATTCTGATACAGCCCATCCAGAGCAGGGAGCCAGTTGTCATTTTGTTCCTTCATAAGGAACACAGCTTTATAGCGTGCCTCATTTCTCCCAAGTTTCAAACTTTACGGAGCCCTTTCTTCGTATTCCAAGTGTGTTGGCAAAGGTGCTACATCTCCTGAGGCATTCCCTACGCCTTCAGTCCCAGGTAAGCTGCATTTTTCACATTCATGAGATCTCTTTTACATTTGCCCATTCCTGCCACTTAAAAGAACTAAAGTAATAACTCCCTCAAAAGCTGACCATCTGGTTGTCACTACACTTCCCTCCAAATTGAAGAGGTGGCAGGCAACAGTATGTTTGCAAGCCCAGCATTTCTCTGTGGCATAGGCACAATCTCACGGTCTACTAATTGCATTTCCAGTTCGTTTTTATGTCTGTGACTTGAGAATTGAACTTCCTCTTAATTTTTTTCTATTTCCTTCCTTTTATTTCTTGGAATCCAGGTATAATTTTCCCCCTTAGGGCTGGACTAATTTCAATACACTTATTAAAGGATGGCTTCACAGCACGGGAATCATATCCATCTCAAAATCTGTGTTGGCAATCATCAGACACTCATCTCCTCTTGCCAGCTAAAACTAGGGCAGCATTTTCAAGACTTGCAAACCTTTACTAAGTACAGGCATTTGTTTGTTATTTCAAACCTTTGTATGCTGACAAGCTTGGTACGTGTGCATGTGTGTGTTTAGAGCACAGTTTGGTGACATGTGCCAGATATCTGGTGACAACTGTTCTTTGAGCATGACTGATAACCAAACAAAATCCAGGAATGTGAGCCGCCTTATTCTTCTAAAAGTACACACATGGTTAAGTAAAATTGGGATAAATAATAACATCAGATTAACAAAAGCTGAGAGGAATAGAGTAATTCATCATAAAAGTGTCCTGAACCATCTAGCAGCCAAGCCAAAGGGGAAAAAATTGATGGGATGTGGAGTTTAGTTGTCTTCAAAGAAAGCATACCAGTTCATCTTGAGTTGCAAGTTGTAATATTAATATGTCATATGAAGGCCTATATTAATGATTTTGAATAGCATAGTAGATAATGTCTTTGATACCAGTTTCATGCAAAAAATACATGGGGTTGTACATATGCAGCTGTTTCTCCTACTAGCTCTGGTTAAATGTAGAGTGTAATGTTAAACTGAAGTTTTGAAAGGTACTTCTTATAGTGCTTTCTGGCGATCTACCTGGTTGCACAATGATGGATAGAAGACAAGATTCCCCTCAGAGCAAGTGTCTCCCTAGTTGTCCTATCCATGCATTTGACAGAAGTTATACCACCAGTGGTTCTAAATTGAGGTTTATAGGACTATAAGGACCTGAGTGCAGATATCCATGTTGTTGATTGGAATAAGAAGCCAGAGCCATAATCCATGGTTTTATTGAGGAAATTAGGCTGAATGGAATCCATGTTTCCGTGGAGTTCACTTGCATTGACCAAGCAGTTACCAAGTGCTGACAGGGAGCCTCCTCCACAGTGCTGGGAATTTGGTGTTCAGTGCCTTTGAAGACCTAGGTCCTTTTCAGGGAAGGAGACAGTGATTACAGGGAAGTGGGCTTAGGATGCAGGAATATCCAGAGGAAGGACACTGAATCTCCCCCTCTGTGCTACCTCTTAGGGAGTGAGTTAAAAAGTCCTTGTGTGGGCTGCTCATCAGTCCTCGAGAAAAGTTGGGCTGCTTGCGCCACGGATCTCCCCAAGTCCCTGGGTGGCAGGCTCAGGCTCCACTTGCTGCCGCTGCCCTCTCGGAGCTAAAAGATACCTACTTACAGATAGTATTATGAAATTAAAGGAATTTCAACATAAGAAAGTGGCTGTTGCATATAATCTTCCTGGCACCAAAGAAACTTATTTTAGAAACTTGGAAGAGAAATTGACCCAGAACAAACTCATCTTGAAGGACAAGCTGAAAACCTTGCTTCATTTGTGTCAGTCCCAGGAGGACATGGAGCTGGCTAAAAATGTCATTCACAGGTACCATGCAGAAACTAGAAATATGACTTTGGGGGAATATAAATTTGGATCAATTTTCATGAGGCTGTGTTATGAGATGGATCTTGAGGAATCTGCAGTGGAGCTCATCAAAGATCAGCATTTACAAGGTTTCTTTTCAGACTTCCCATCATTCAATATTTTGATGGATATGTTATTTATGAAGGGCAAATATGAAAGTGCATTGGAAATATTGATAGAGATGAAAAACCAGGATGTGAAGTTCACCCAGGATACCTATGTCCTTGCTTTTGCAATTTGCTACAAGCTGAACAGCCCAGAATCTTTTAAAATCTGTACTACATTAAGAGAAGACACCCTAGTCAAAGGAGACATTGTCTCCAGGAGAGCATCTTGTTTTGCTGTGGCGTTAGCTCTGAATCAGAATGAAATGACCAAAGCTGCATCCATATTTTCTCAAATCATGAATCCAGAGACCATAACCTACACTAATTTAAATATCATGATCCATATTCAGTCAAATATGTTGGAAACCCTAATAGAGATACTATAAAGTGCTGCAGAAGGAAATTTATCCAGATTTGTGAAAAGACAGGAGTTCTCCGAGGAGGTGCTGGTCAAAGTGAGGGAAAAAGTGAAGGATGTGCTCAACCTTGTGGACAGATTTGAGGAGATCTATGGGAAACTACATATACATCGCCACGTGACTTCTTACACTCTGGATGCTCTGTTCTGCCATACCCCCAGGGACAAGAATTCTCATACTCCACTACTAAACAGGAAGAGGGTCAGCCAGCGTACCTTCCAGCCCCTTAGCCAGCGCCTATGGGCCAAGTAACCCTATTTTCAACTTTCCTCTGGGTCTGAGGGGCCTGCTTCAAGTGAACAATTGGCTTCTGTAAGAAATCAGGCCTCTTACTTCAGTGGATGTTGTGCTAACACTTGGTCTCCCTATGTCACAAGTTCATTGAATGATGGCATGCTGAGCAGAGAAGTTTCTTTGTTGTGCTGCTGTGAAGATCTGGATCAAGCAAAGAAAGCTCAGCTCCCTCAAAGGCAGTCTTCCCCTGTGTCACTGTTGAGGAAGGAGTATGATTTGAGTCTTCAGTGCAGCTTATAGCACCTGAATAGACTCCAGTGCACATCATCAGGAATGAACTACACTAGAAGTGTCATCTTCCCTGTTTTTCAAGAGAGTAATTGGTTGTAATAATACCCTCGCTGATTTTAGGAGCTCCAAAACCCTGTCCTACCATGTTGGGAAACAGCCAAGGTTTTTCTCACTGCCCTGCCATCATTTAATTCTCTGACCCTACATAGAACACTTGAGCCCTCATTTTTCTATCTGCAAGTAATCGTGCCTGTGTGTGTTGGCATAATGACTTGAAATCTTCATCCAAGTTTCATTTCACTCAAGTATTCTCAAAAATAAGAGAAATAAAAAGGTACCTGAGCAAAAAAAAAAAGTCCTTGTGTGAAGACGGAGGATATTGTTGGCAAATGGACACATACAAGCACTAACAAGGAGCTATAATATCATGCACTCAACAACCAGGTCAGTCTACAGGATGTTTATGAAATATGGAGACAGGGAGAGTAGAATAGGGAAATGGAGCTTTGTGCTAGAACACAGTTCATAAGAGGTATATTTGTAGGTAGGACCATGATGCTTTTCCCCTTATCCTCCAAAAAAAAGTTGTTTTATTAATAATAGTTAACATTTTCTTGAGCTATTACTTCACTTTGCTTAGCAACTTACATACACATTATTGTACTTAATCCTCATTGTCCCCCTCTGAGGCAGATATTCTTTTCCCCATTTTGTAGACAGAAAGTAAAATTAAAGATGAAGTAGCTTGCCAGGAATCCAGGCAGTCCACCACCATGCCTGGTTTAAACATCAGTAATTTTTAAAAGGAAGATGGCAGGAGGAAAGATAAAATGTCAGTATTCATTCACTGCTTCTTCTGTTTATCAAACTCCACATTTCTGTCCCATTCAAAAGTAAAAGATAGGAAATAACCTGCCTATTTATTGGTAAGGACCTGGTTGAATAGGTTGTTGCATATCTCTGCAATGGAAAGCTATATCGTCACAAGAACAAGGGAGCAACTTTCCATGACCTGAGAGAGCAGTTTCCAGTAAACATGGCTAGGGGAAAATAAACAGTGTTCAGAACAATGTGAATAACTTTAACCTTTTGGTTTTTTTTTTAAAGAGGAAAGGATGTGAAATCTTACACATAAGTTTGCGTGTTTCTTTAATATCTGTAGAAGAAAACATAAACTCAATAATGATTTGTTCTGGAGAAGGGGTCAGTAAGAACGGAGGCTTACTTTTCCTATCCTCCCTTTTATACTGTTTGGAAATTTTGTCAACTGATATAATAACCATTCAAAATAATACATTAGTATAAAAAATTAAAAAGAAAACTCCCCAGCCCCCTAAACAGATTGATGGAGATTCATATATACTTCTAACTCATGGTTATGAATTATCCGTCATAAGACTATTTTAAATCTGTAGCTTATAACCAGGCAACTCTGTAGCAATAGAGGATTACCTGAGATCATAAGTAATTGGAGCTCTCATCCAAATACTTGCTGATATACTACATCTGAGTTTCTAAACAAGTGAGCAAAAAAGCCCCATATTGAATTCCTAAGCCTCATACCTGTCAGGGACTGATAAGTGCACATGGGCAGGTTCTTTGATATGTGGCCAAGTCCATTATAAGAGATAAGCAACCTGAAGTGCAAACCTGTGATTTAACTACATTTCAAACTTGATAGAAAACTACAGGATGAACGCCAAAGAGAACCTATGTGCTCAGAATTTATCTGTTGCTCCAGCTCTTTAGATTTTCCTTTCTTATAAGAAAGGAACTCAAAATTTATGTCTCATGTTTCAGATTGTTTGGTGACCTAAGGGCTAACTTTTACTTTTTGTGTTTCACAAGTGACTAAGTGTGGTATTATTAAAACCACTAAAAAGTCAGGCATTTAGGGTCGTGACTGCGGCTGGCAGAATTTATAAACCATTAAAAGGATTTTTTAAATCTTGAAAGGTACCCCATAAGAAGCATAAACATAATGCTTAGGGGTATCTGCAGATTCAGGGCTGTGGAACTTTGGTGATGTAAAGGAAAATGTGTTTGATGTGATCTTGTTGTAATTAAAAGATATCTGCCGTACTTCAACTTACCACATTTTTTTCTTTCTCAAATTACGTAAGATTGTTTCAAAAATGTTTTAGAGAAGTGAAATTTTTTGTTTTTGTTTTGTTTTCACCAAATTTTTAATTATTGGAAAAGGCTGAAAAATGAAGCATTTCTTCTTATAAAGAATAATCAGTACTAAAATGTAAAAGATTCCTAACAAATAGCCTAACTCTGTTAGCCTAAAATTAAACTCCTGGTCTAGAAGTTCTATACTGTTGTGTGCTGTTGCTTGTAGAGCAAGGGAATATTTTTCTTTTGTTTTATTTTTTGCAATGAAAAAGGCTTGGGTTTCCTTATGATTCTTGTCTTAAGCTTGAGAGAGAACTGCCTTAAGGAATTTTTTTAACCAACATTCATTTCCCCTTCATTTTTTAAGTTCCTCATCTATAAAATGGCATGTGACAATGAAACAGAAATATCTTTATGAGATGTAGTCTTTTTTCTCTAAGCTAAAGTTAGGGCAAATGCTATCCCTTAAGAAGAATGGAGATCACATCACCTGTGTAGTGAGACAGCTACTTCTCAGTTGACTGTGGATAAGAGACTCACCAGCCAACTCTAGTTTCCTATTTATGACCAGAAGAGTATTTCTTAGATGGAAGAAATTACTCCAATAGAACCTTACTTTGAAAGTAAGTTTCACATGGAAAATTACCTCCAGACTTGTTAAGTGGCCTTTTAGGCAGGATAGTGATGCCCAAACACCATAATGTGAATGTTTCCAAAAGCTTTTTCTGTCCTTCTTCTAATTCATCTTACCAAGAATATCACTTCCATGTTCATATGCATAAAAGTAGAAGTCCTTTCACCACTGACTATAAAGAGCCAGTCTAAAAATGAGAAATTAATTTAGCTTAGCCCTAGGGTAGCTTAGAAAAAACTTTTAAATGTTAATATTAAAAAGCACTTAGAAAGACAGTTCATTTTAGAGCCTGAGGAGAGAATTCTTTTAGATAGGGGCTTAACATAAACCTAAGTAGCTGGCTATTAGTCAGAAGTCTAGATTTGGCACTAAAACTTAAATTTCAGTACTATAATGAAAATTCCACCATAAAAAGGCTCCGGTGTCTGATTATCATCACCCTTACACAGTTTTCAGTTCATAATCTCAGAATCCACAAATGCCTTCAGGATCTAATAGGCACAGAAAATGACATATTACAAGGAACCATCCAAAGAATGTAACTAGTTCCATGGAAATCAAAGCTTTGGGCGACATCTAATTAGGTTGCAGTATCAACGTGCTTTGGTTCTGACATTTATTTGCCATTACCTTGAGCAAACCACTTGACGTTTATATTGTGTCTAGGGACCATTCTATTTTGGGAATAAATTACATGATCCTTCTTTATACACAGTCTCACAGTAATCATAACACCTTTTAATGGTTTCCCTGGTGTCTTTTTTCACTAAACTGATCCCCTTTAGACCAGGTACCACCTTATTTTTCTCCCTACCCTGGCCTCCTAGAATAGTACTTGGCTAACATTTGATGTACAGTGCTTGTTGAATGGGGAGTAAGTTCATCAGACCCCACCACTGGCGTGTACGGTTTGGATCCTTTAATATTTGCAAGATCACCAACCAAAATGTTCCCTAATGTGAACAGGCTTCATGAAATGCCAAGACACTCTTTCTGATACTAATTGGGTACCAGACCACAGAAACCTGGCACAGATGTCAGATCTGGAGCCCATCTGTATACACATTGATCCATAGCTCCCTTGGAGATAAGGTGCCATCAGCTGACTAGAACTTGGGAAATATTTGTGAGAGATTTATGGGAGATCTGGCTAGTATTACTGTCAAGAATAATAATAGCACTACAAGATACATAGTGCTTTCCAGTTTTTAGAGCCACTTCCTTCAGAGTGTTTAATTTAATTTAATTTTCACATCAACTTTAATCATAGCACTTGGCATACTGTATTTATTATTGCCCATTTTCTTCTCTTGATTCCTATATTGAATATATGTCCAGTCCATGCCTATTTCTTACTCGGTATTATTTCCCTAGGACTTGCCAGTGCTATTTGTAGGTGTGTGATAAATATGGACTGAATTAATGAGGAGTACAAGACAGCTATCTCCTATAGTTTGTGAGTGAGAGCCCCTGAGGCTGAAAGGGCTTGAGTGGCCTTTTCACATCTGTGGGGCAGTCTTAATCTGGGAACTTGTATTTAAACCTAGACTTCCAGATTCCAAGTCCAGTGCTCTTTCGGTGACTCACCACCCAGAACAACAGCATCATGTTCATTATATGGGGATGAAAAAGTGAAAGAGCAGTTTCCTGTCCTACCCACATTTGCCACATGTTCTGTTCCTTTTAGGATCCACTGAGAGCTCCTCCAGGAAGCATTCCCGAACCTGGATTAGGTGCTCTTTCAGCACAATTTCAATAACCAGTTCTTATTTCTGTCACTCTATTTAACAACAGCAGCTGTTGTCATTCATTGGGGGCTCCCTTGGTGCCAGACACAGAATTGAGTGCTTCACATTCACTCAGAATTACCCCCAGGAGAGAGGCTCTTAATGGCTTCATTTTTCAGATGGAGAAACTGCCTGAGGTTATAGGGGGCAGACCTATATAAATCATCATAGAACTCCAGGCTGCTGAT